CTGCTATGTGCCATTTTTATATGTTTACTAAAATATTTAATATAATGAGAATGAATTCATTGTTTTAGATTTATATTTTATTACTACTCGAAATTTTTGGGATCACTTACATCTATGTGTGAATTGAGAAGAATTGATTTTTCGGTAGATGATGCTGTCTCAGATATCCATGTCAAAATTGCAACATGTCTGTTCTCAGTAACTTGTACTTTTTGATACGTGAGATTCAGTTCATTAGCGTACGATTTGAGAAACTCAAACGCTTTGTCATAATCAGGATCTGGTTGAACAGTTTTGATACGAATGTAATCAACAAAATGTTGAATAGCTGTTTTGTCATCATTATTCATATCCTTCTGGTGTGTCATTGTATTGAAATGAGTGTCTGAAACGCAACCGATCATATGTGCAATCAGCAAACAGTTCGTTTTTTTCTTTCACTTCTCTTTACGTGATACTCGTCATAGCAATTTAACCGACTATTGACTTCGATAATCACTAATTGATAGAAATCTCGAACCCAGTCTTTCGTCAGAAATTTTTTAAAGCAAAACCATCTTTCTATGCATGTGCTTGAAAAACCACACTTTTACCCCTTTATACCTTATTGTCCCTTCCAGCGGACATCACCATAACTGCTTGAAAAAAGTAACGCAGCGCTAAAATCAAAACTTTTTCAATCGAATTTTTTTTCTAGCGTAAGGTAACACTCTATAAGCTAACGATTGCTAATAAAAAAAAGTTTTTATCAAGTCGAAACAAAGGTATACACGTTTCAAATTTGATTTGCATGATTCGTTACCGAGCATAAAGGGTTACACAGGGAGAAAAGTGTTGAAGATTTACTGCAAGCAGAACAAAGCGAAAAGTAGTCATTTATACTTATGATTACTCAAAGTTTTAATCTTCATAGATTCTTTCATATGTATGGCGCAACGTTACCACTAAATTCTTGTACAGTAAGTTTAAAATATTGAACTAAAACTTATATCGTTCATATTGTGTCCTCGAGATCTACAGCTTTTTTTAATATAGTTCATTTTCACTTCGTCCACTCGACTTCAATTGATCCGAGATTTTTGACAAATGACATACACAGTGTGTCTGTTTTCCTGATTTTCTCTGATCTCCAAACATTCATTATAAAGTCTTTGGAACATAGAATAGACCATACTATAGATTTTTTGACGCCTGAAAATAATTGAGGATCGTTAAGAAATTTCTCCCTATTTGAAATTAAAACAATTACTATAAAATAGTGCTGAATAAAACTTGTAGTTGACTATGAAAAATCTTGTTTCTTTTTGTACACGATGTTAGTAGATCCCAAAAATTTCGAGTAGTAATAAAATATAAATCTAAAACAATGAATTCATTCTCATTATATTAAATATTTTAGTAAACATATAAAAATGGCACATAGCAGTAAAAAAACAAAATAATAGTTGATGAAAAACACATGATGAAAAGAAGACAGTTCATTCTCTTAAAAATATTGCAATATTTTAGATGAAAAAAGTGAAAATTCCTATTGGAAATTGACAACAAACAAACAACAACCAAGATGTGTTTTTCCTTCATTCTAAAATCATTCATTTTTTTATAATGTTGTCATCCCATCTACTTGATCAAGATCAATCTCACAATTTTTTCGAATCTCATCGAATGTATATTCTTTCAAAATTTTTCCATTTTCAAATACAGTAACAAGCTCATCATTAACATTTTTATCATCATATATATCTTTATCATTAATACTACTTACTGTAACATATTTTTGATTTTTATCTTTGATTAATTTTAATCGACCTGGTTTATTTCGTTTTCCTCTATCAGTTACTGGATCTTTTGCCACCGATACGCCTCCCCTGCCTTCAATATACACATATGAACATTTAATAGCAAATTTCATGGTATCACGATCAAATTTTTGAAGCAAACCTCCACCACTTCCAAACACCAAATTATCAGAAGCAAAAAAATCGGAATTCTGAACGTAATTTTCAAAAA